CAGGTTTCCGAGTCATGGATAGTTTGGTTGATTTCCGCTGTCGCATCAACTTACTTTCTTTCTATGGCATGTAAGAATCAGAAGAGGCTTCTGAAGCACCAGTAAGCATGTTTTTATGACTGATCTCCACACTTTTAAATTTATTATGCTTTGTGAAGGATCGTCATGAAACGAGGTTCTGCTGTGGATAGGGAAATCAGTCAAAAATACGCAAATGACAAGAAAATGAGCACCAAGGAGAAGGAGGTAAATAAGTGTCTGCTCTTACTTCCAACATAGGTCACCTGCTGATGTTTGATTCCAGGAGCGCGCTCTTTTTCGTAAAAACGAAGTTGCGGATTCAGAAGCCACATACTTGTCGATTTTCTTCACCAACGTACTGTTCCTTTCGATTATGTTGTTCTTAGCATTTTTCCTGCTTGCAAACCTCACACCTATCTTTAATTCTCTGCTCTCTGTAATAGGATCCGCAGGTCTCGTAGCATTCCTTTCTACTGCTAAAAATTAGGTGTTAAGTGATTTATGAAAGACTTTGTTGTTTTCTGTTGTCACGGGGATACAATTGCTGTTTAAATTATTTGAAGTTATCCATCCTGACTGCGAAATTTTGTTCCTTTGCGGTGAACATTGTATTGATTAAAAATTGTTTTATTGGGTGTGGTGAAGTGGTCGTTTCGTCGTAAGATACATCAATTAAATAGTAGAGCGAGACAGTTTTTTTTTCTACGTATTGCGAGATTCAGATTAGAATATGTCGTTTGGAAATGAACCTACTGAACGACCGAGCTCTCCAATCTTCACTGCTGGTGATAAGAAACTCCAACAGATGTGTAGGAACGGACTTAACGAGAATAGAGTGATAAAAGTGGGTGAAAGCATTGCAAGTACCAGTCGTTATTGTCTTAAATTTTTTTAACTATTAGGTTGTCCGGAAAGTTCTCAGCGTTTTGTGTTACTATTTTTGTACATTCATTGCTGATTAAAAACTCATTCTCCCTTGCGTCTCAGTAGTACATCCTGAAGAGAATTCTTTGCGCTATCTGGTGGTATAATTGCCGTTTCACCATTGCTTGATAAACCCTCTTTTCCCAAGACTTTTTGAAGCATGTCAAAAGAGCAACTTTGGACGATATTTTTCTTCAACTACAAATTGGGTCAATCCGCAGTCGAGACAGCTCGACAAATTAACCAGGTGTGGGGGCCCAATAGTGTTGGAGAAAGCACCGTGCGACAATGGTTCGACAAATTTCGTTCTGGAGATTTCAGCCTTGAAGATGAACTTCGTAGCGGTCGACCTAAAGCAATACCTGATGAGGATTCGAAGGCGTTTGGAGGCAGACCCATCCCCAACAGTTCGAGAGGTAGAAGAAAAGCTAGTAGGGTTGGCAAATCCGCTGTTGCGGATGCTCTGAAACGCATTGGGAAGGTGAAAGATTTCGACAAGTGGGTGCCCCGCAATTTGAGTGACAGGCAGGAATTGCGCGTCTCAAGGTTTCTTCTTCACTGCTCTTGCGCAACAGAAACGGGCCCGTTTTTGGACCGAATTGTCACCTGTGATGAAAAGTGGATCATGTATGATAACAGGAGACGTTCCGGACAGTGGTTGGATGCCGACGAACCACCGAGGCAATTTCCAAAGCCGAATCCTCACGAAAAAAAAGATATGGTCACAAACGTTGGGTGTACATCGGCCTGGTGTGATCACACTATAACTTTATTGTTCACGCAGGCCAAACCATGCACAGCAGAGTATGTCCTATTTGAAGACAATCGAACGAAACGTACCGAAAATTGCGTCAGCTGCAGCCAGCACTTGTCAACAGAAAGGGTCCGATTCTTTTGCATGACACGCGCCCGCCCGTTTCACAAATCACTATCCATAAATTGAACGAATTGGGGTTAAAGTTCTACCTCACTCGCCATATTCTGCCCTGACCTTTCACCCAACGCGACTGTGCACGCTTTTCAAATCATTTCAGAAGTCTCCTTTCTAAAGTACTTCATCAATGGCAGGACACGCCGACAAAACATCAGGGATTCTCGACCACCTAATTTTTTGCTTTGATGGGGATTTCTCGACTGCTGTCACATTGGCAAAAGTGTGCTGATTCGAACGGTTCCTTTTGCGATTAAATCCGATGAGTATTTAGAAAGTTATGATCGTTTAGAAACACTCAAAACGCTGAGAACTTTCCGGACAACGTAATAGTATAGTAATCATGTGGGCTTTTGAGAGGGTTCTTGTTGAAGCAGTAATCTTGCTCGGGAGGGGCGGCTAGGAATGTTTCACGTTGAGGATTCTGTTACATATAAGAGAATCATATAAGAGGCCGGGAAACTTTTCATATACGGCCACTTCCTGTCACACTTTTAGTCAGCTATTCTCTGAATTCATGCCATTCACAGGAGATTTTCTCTAAGCGTTGATACATCATTGCATTTGGGTGTTATAATGCTTCTCAGATACGTGCGCAAAAAGATCAGTAGTTTGAGAATGTTTGGTGATCGCTTGCATGGCTTCCCTTAGTGTGGAGACATCTAAAGACAGTGCTCAAAATCGCAAATCTCGGGTGATGGGGTTCGCGGAGAACACTCTTTGTACTATCTCTAACATCCTCCCCGGACGAGTTATCCGAACCTGCGCGTTTTATGCCAGCGGAGCGATTTTGTGCCACCTCTAGCTCATCAGTCGTTTCTTCGCGTCATCCAATGCTGGTACCAACTACAGTTAAACAAACGAAATTTGAACAGGACCTCTTGACTCGAAGTAGCCTTTGAGCTTTGTGGACTGTACAGCAGAGAGGCGTCAAAACTGCCACTTACGAGTGCCACAGTGCCTTCCTGCCAGACTATTCGCAGAAGGAAGAAGCCTACGAATTGCCTGAGCGCCGGGACTGTATTTGCGCGCGTTTTCCACATCCAGCAGAAGCATCAGTGTCCGATAAACAGTGCGATGCAATGACAATCGTGTACTTTCTATCTGATAACTTTCGCGAAACATGAAGTACCATGGTTGTGGTGATGTAACCTTGTACGTAAACACTCAGAACAAAATGATCTCATAACGGAGTGTCGCATCGTTGCCCATGAATTTACTAGAGTGCTCCCCTACTCATAAAGGGATATCGTTAAATCTGAAACTCTTGTAAAGCATGACCGCGTCGTCAGGCTCAGTTCTGGTGGGAATCTCGAATTCGACGAGCAAAAAACGCCGCCAAAGTTACGTTTGTTTAGATTCTTCGAATTCCCCTCGTACGGACGGCTGTCGTCCATGTTTTGAGAGCTGAATCTCCGAGCTGCGTGTGGGTGCGCATAACTAATCACATCACGGATCAACTGATTCTTACTGAACCGTGAGTAGATAGGTTTTTCAGAAGATGGACTGTTTTCATCGTACACATTTCTGAAGCGTCCATTATATATTGAAGATGTGAACTCATTCCTCGTTGCCCCAAGGATGGTGTAGAAGACTTATACACAGGAGTATTGAGCGAGTATGAGTATTGCATGGCTCCTGTTCGTGAACGGACTTATGGCCGATGTCGAGTGCTCGAGGTACTCTGCTTGATCCTTTGATCTCCAATTTCACACTCTGACTTTTTGTTGTTTCATGTACGAGACGACCTGGGAGTAGCTAAAGTGTTTTTTATCGACGAAGGACTTGAAGCTTGGGTTTCGAAGGATGTAAGTTTCAAGTCTCAAACTTCTATTTTTTTTTACTGTTAACTGCTCTTTATCATTTCTTAGGTTACCTATAATTTCCGAAAGATGGTATCCTTGAGTATTACTTTTTCGAGCTTCTTTTACTGACAAGAAAAGGAAATAATGGCAGATTTGCAACTGTGCGATTTTCATCTCGGTTTTTTTTTACCCTATTTGCTTAATGATTTAGGCAAATGAGTAGTCAATCGATAGAAGAGGAAATCACAAAACTGCATTGAGTACCCGCTAAATTATAGGAAACGCCTTCACTATTGTGCTATCTAAACACCACCTTCGCTATGTCACGTTGTTCTTGCTCTTGGTTGACCTCAACCCTTATCAATCCTTGGTGCGCATGCTGGATGTTAACAAGGAGAACCTTCCCAGTCAAACGACATCTACCCTGAGCAAGCTCAAGAAGGGTGACTTCTTCGTCGAAGATAGCGATAGACCTAGGCGCTCATTGGCATTGGACTTGGATTTGCTACGGAACCAAGTAGGCTCAAACCACTCATAAACGGGTCAGCAGTCTTGTTGTTTTCCACACAACCGTTATTTATGGATCGATTGGCAGGGTCCGAACACTGTTGAAGAACGCACATGGATCAAACAGCGTAGGCATGTCGCTCTTCTTGCTCAAGACAGCGCACTGCATGGCGTGGCTCGACAAGTGATGAGAATTGGATAACAGCAATAACCACACCCCACCTTTCTCACTGAAAAATGACTACTAGGCGTTACCAGACGATGGAGTGTCAGTGATTGACAACGTTTGAAACTACTTGTGGACAGCAGACAGTGTTACTTCCAAGAGTGAGCTGACGACGTGAGCGGACGTGAGACGTGGAACGTAGCCACTCACGGACCTTACTCTCGCACTATCCGGCTACCACCAATTTCCAAATCTTCAGCGCCATTTGAATGGCAAAGATTGCAAAAGACGTGATGACATCTGAGAGGAACGGGAGACATACTTTGAGGTCCAGCAGCAGCGTTCTGAAGGGAAGGCATCCATAATCTACCTGTGCACTGGCAGAAGACCGTAGATAGTATACTGACGGATGACACACGGTATACCAGGTGAGGGATACAATGAATGGAAATGAGAGTTGGGTGCTCTATGGTCCCAACTTTCGTCCTGCTCTGTGGCACACTTCAGAAAAAGACTCACCCCAGCAAACCACATCGTGAACCTCAAGAAAATTTTAATGTGTTGCTTTCTGGTGTATTACGCAGGGGTGCGCACGAGCTACTTCGGCCGAGAGTATAAACGGTCAATACTCCTACTATATATGAATCCGCTAAAGTTTGTCTGTTGGTGTGTTGTGTGTGCGAATGTATGTGTGTGTCTGTATGTGGTTTGACCGGAAATTCATAACTTCCTTCAAAACAGCGACTGTGCGCTCAAACTGATAAGTGATGTAGGAGGTCGGGCAGGAACACTATTGGTAGGTGGCAGGAAGTGATAAGAGCTGATAAGATACCATAGGGGGCCGTATAAAGGCGAAGTCAGCAAATTCATAACGCGCGTCGCACAGCAAGATTAGAGCGTTGGTTCCAAGAAGTAAGATAGGAAGTGCAGGACGGGAACATTATTGGTGGGTGGCAGGAAGTGATAAGAGCTGATAAGATATCACAAGGGCCCTAAAAAGAGTGAGCTACCTAATTCATAACACCGGCCACAGCAGCGATGGGACGTTGATTTCAAGAAGTTAGATAGGAGGCAGGACGGGAACATTATTGGTGGGTGGCAGGAAGTGATAACAGCTGATAAGATACCATGAGGAGCCTCAAAAAGAGTGAGTT